ATATATATCTACAATAACATATTTGGCATACATAAATTTTTTAAGTATGAAAATTCTAAGATATGCATTTTATGTGAGCAAATATACATTATATATGTACAGGTATATCTATTTATATACATACATACATGCAAAACATAATATTATTAATAAAAACAAAATTTTTCCAAATAAGAGAAAAACTAAAATAAAATAAGATAAACTATGATTTGTAGTATATTGGAAAAAAAAATTTTTTTTTTGGTGTCCTTTTCTATAATACTATTATTTTATTTTAATTTTACAAAGATATATATATGTATTAAATGAAGAAAGAAATAGGTCTTCAATGTAATAATGCCGAAAAAAAAATAAGAGGAGAAAACAAATTATAACAAATGATTTAATCTATTTTCATATATTTGTACTATATATTACATAATTATATATTTATAAATATGAATATACACACTCATTTTAAATATAACTATTATACATAAAAATGTACAAATATTTAAATTTTGCAAATTCAAGTATAACATGTGCACATATATACACTATATAATATATAGTATTCTATATAAATATACAGGAGTATAACAGATATTATAATTAAACATTATGGTAAAAGGATCATGATACAATATAAACATGAGTGTATAATATAAAGAGCTATATATATATATATGTACATATATATGTTCTATTATTCAAATATATCTTTTACTATTTTAAAATTATGTACGTGCACTTAATAAAAAAAAAACAAAAAATATGTTTATCTTTTCAAGAATAAAAATATTTATTGTACAGAATTTTCTACATAAGTAAATATGTAAGCAAATATTACACTTACATATATATATATGTATATGTATATATTTAGTGTGCTTAATAATTTGGATATATACATACATAATAATGTAAATATATATTTTTATACATATATAGATTTTCATTTATAAAATTTACAATTCGTGTAATATTTTTCGGAAAATATAATGTGTAGAGTATAGGTGAAAATAATTTACATATATATATACAATGTTATATGCAATATACAATATCTAGGATATATAAATAAAGACAAAAATGAATTTTATAGAAAGAAGAGAAAATTTCATTTTTATATATTGAAAAATGAAATTGATAATAAATGGTTAATCATGACGACAATGATGATTACTGGATTGCATATATATATACACATACATACACACAAATATATTGTGATTATATGGTGGTAATTGTTATGATAATGATAATCGTATAATAATGGTAACGATGATAATGATGAAAATTTTGATGGTGTTAAAGTTCAATGAACTTCCGTTATATATCATGAATATATACATGTATATACTACATTTATTATACATATACGTATATTATGTTATTTACTATGTTACATTAAAAAAGAAAAATTAATTAAATATTAAAATTGCGTATAAATTATAAAAGTAGAATAAAATGAATTTTTAAAAAATTTTCATCTATGTAATTTAAATATTTTTATAGAGAAATGTAAGTACATATAATATACATAGATATATATACATATATATACTTTCAAATTTTAAAAGAAAAATAAATGCATAAGTGAAAATTTTTTGTTTATTTAATTATAGAGGAAATTGTTTCAATTGTTATTTTTTAACGCAGTTAGTGACTTTTATTTATAAGCGATATAAGTATAAGGAAGAACTTGGAATTTAATAGATTTTTTTTATAAACTATGCATACGATTAAACATGTTTTTTTTATATTAGACACTATAACTAGAATGTAGATCATATTGGAATAATTCATAGTACTGATACAAAAACACAATATTAGGACTATGAATTAGTGCAATATAGTCTCTAATTTGCTTGAATAGTTTTGTCTTGCAAGAACAAAAACGAACTTATGAATTTAAAAATTAATAGTTCGACATCAGTTTCGAATATAAAATATATCACAAATCATCTATACTGAAAGAAATAATTGGAAATACTCAACTATTCACTTAAATCGATCGATTTAGTTAGAAGAACATTTGAATAGTTATGTACCGGAAGACACTGATGGCACAGAACCGAACTGTGAAGACTGTTTGTTTGACAGTTGAAGCGTTTTAATTGTATATTTTTGCTAAAATAATATATAGTAGAATGTTATTATGGTAATGCAAAATTTGTTAGTTCAAAATTTATAATATACAAAGAAATTGTAATAAAGTATGGTTTTATTGGCATTTATAAATATATTGCATAAGTGCATAATATACGTTTATCTAGGTTTATTTAAAAATAACGTATATAATTCTGTCTTTAAACATTAGTTTTATCTACAATCTTAACATACATGGATATATTTATTTAATATATAAGAATTAATTATTCAACTCTAGAGACACACCTAGTAACCAAATTTTTTAAATTTCTGTACAAAATTATAAGTATATATGTAAGTATAAATATGTGTTTGCACACTTACATGAATTTTTACCTAAAATATTTTCTGAAAATTTCCTTAAAATTTCCTTTAAAGCTTCTGAGCTTTTTTTTTAGAAATGTTATCGAAACAGCTTTTTTCTATATAATGTTAAACAAAGTACTTAAATAAGCTTTATTATTTTAGAAAATGAATCTTTTGTGTATTTATTATATAATTCGAATTTTGTAGTGAATTTTCGACAACTCATGAAAGAATTGGAAATGCATGTGCGAAAGTTTTCAAATAATCGAAAATGTTAAGCAACATTTCTTAGCAACATGCTAAACATTTTATGTTCAAGTGAATCATGAGAAAAAAAGCTTTTTGGAGTAATTGGTAATTTACCGTTATTTACTAATATTATCAAAGTTTGGTAATGTTTTTTTTTATTTTATTAATTGGAGATTTAAATTTAAAAATATTTGCAAAATAAACAATTTCTTCTTTGTGAACTATGAGAACATACTGTTATATGGGTTGATTAACAATATTAATAAATATTTTTCGAAATATACTTAAAGCATAACCTGTAGTTAGAAGTTTATCTATAAAATAAATTTTCTTGTTCATTTTGAAATTTATATTTATATTTTTGAAATCCAGTTACTAATTGAATTGGTACATAATATTAACAATATATAATAGAACATACTTATAGGCGCACATTTATAATAGTAATAAAATTTTAAATTAATCTCCATCAACATATTTTTCATTTAATAAGAATTTAATAACAGTAAAATTTAAGTAAATTGACAAGAAGTCGCCCTTAGATTAATATAAGATCGTTAGGAAATTTTCTATTAATATATTTATATGTACGTACCGTTGTAAATTTAAGTAAAATGGAAATTATTAATATTTCCTTATCATTCATTAATATATATATATGTATATATATATATATTATATGTATAAGATTAGAATGTTAATATTTCGTACTATTACGCTTATCATCCAAACTATAATAAATGTAGTAATGATAAACTGTTTTGCTACCAGTTTAAATTGAAAACATATGATATACTATTGAAAAAAAAAGTGCTTATTCATTCCAATCTGTTTGTCGATTCTACCCGCTTCGGTTTACAAATTTTTTTAATTATAAGTTTTTGATAAATTTTTGGCTACCAAAAGTATTTGGAAAAGACCTAAGAGCAATCGAGAAAATCATTATAACAATATCTGTAGAAAGAACTATGAAAAATTTGATTTGGAAAAAAGAGAGAAGAATTTATGAAAAAAGCTAAAGAGTTCTTATTGTAATTATCATAGGAAATTAATATTAATAAGCAAAAATTTTGCGAAAATTAGTATGAAATATGGCTGAAATATTAATTATACTCTTTCTTATATATGAATAGTGCTTGAAACGAAAAATTTTAATTGACGTCACTATTTACATTTTTAAAAATTTATTTACATTTATTAAATTTTTTACGTCATCATAACTGGTTCCGATGTTTTATCCATATTAAAATCATATATACACTTAGAAAAAATTACAACTTTTATAAAAGAAAATATTGGAATTCCAACAGGATTTCCTAACTATAACTCTTAGCACAATCCAATAGGGAATCCAAAATATCATTTTTCTTTTGCTCACATTTTTAAAATTATAATATTTTTAAGACTTCTATAAAAGGAAATAACTATAAATTTTCTTCTCTTAGAAATTTTAACTAGTTTAATCAAAGCATTACCATTATAATTAAGTTTAATTATTAATTATACCAATTTTGTTCTCCTTAAAGTATGCAATAAAGCATGAAATAATAAAAGAATAAGCAATGCTATTTTTCAAACAAATTATTTAAATGAAATGTGCTACTTTCTAAGTCGATTTACTTTTATCCGAATTAGTTTTAATTCAAAAATTGTCGCGCTTTATTATCTTATTTAAATATACTTTGTATATATACTTTGTTTTATTATTAATATACCTTATTAATATGTATTTATTAACTAACGTATTATACATACAAATATGCATGTATATAAAACTTGTTCATATTAAAATATTACAAATTTAAAAATGTATATAAACATTTCCATGATAAGATATGAAGTACAGTATAGAGGAACAACAAAGTCTTTTTGCTTTTGAATTAAATATTCTCTTTTTTTTTTGGGTTTTGTCTTTTTTTTTATGTTTTTAATGCGGAATTGAATGGAATATAATATTTGTAGATACTACTATGTTATACTACTATGGTTAGATGTAGATAAATATAATCTAAATGTATTTATGCATATATGTATATGCATTATGTATATGATTTTATACATATGTAAAATGGTATAATAAATCTTCATTAATATGAAAAAGAACAAAATGATGTGTATGGCTCGCTCATTTTGTTGTTGTTTTTACTTTATTTTAACAATTCAATGAATATAATGTTATATTAAGATATACTTATATACATATGTACTTATTATATTTATATATACTGAAATTTCTTTTTGTATTTAGCAATTTTTGTTTTTTTTTATTATAAACCAGAATTAATTTAACTTTCGATAGGTTAAGATGTATAAAGATATTATATATAGAGAAAAAAATTGATTATTTTTAAAGAAAAAATTTATAATAGAATATTTTTTTTTATAATTTTATTTCCTCATATATAAATATTTAATATAAATAAGAATTAATTTAATATTATATTAGTGCTCCAATATTATAATATATTTTTAAAATTAATATAACAATTATAAAATTTTCCTAAATTATATATTCGATTAATAATGTTATCAATTGCTAGACAATTTTTTAATAAAAATCCTTTAATTGCAAATAGTATTGTATATGGATCATTATATGTTGGTGCAGAATTCTCACAACAATATATTAATAAGAAAATCCTTGTAAGTATACACGTATATATTTATACCTATACATAAATCTAATATGAAAGAAATACACATATGTTGAAATATGTGTGTATATAATATTTTTTTAAAGAATCATCAAAAATATACAATTATTATAGCAATATAATTTTTAATATTAAATTTTTCTTTAATTTAAATATATTTTTATATAATATTTATAGCAATCATAGAATTCTTTCAAACATATTACAATTATAACAAAAGAAGTGTCAAAGTGAACAATTTTTTGAAAAAATTTTAAAAAATTTGATGATTATTTTTTAATTAAAATAAATTTATTTTTTACATAATATTATTTAATTATTTTATTTATATATTATTATTAATCTAATTTTTTTTTTATAATTTTAATCAAATATAACTCAAATCCAAAATAAAAATAAAAAAAAAAAACAAAACGTATGTACTGCTAAAATATTATACATAGGCACCAACTAAAGAAAAAATCGATATGCCTACATTAGGTCGGTATGCAGTTATGGGAACATTTTGTTATTCTCCAACACTATACACATGGTTTGTTATTAATTGAGTACAAGTATAGTTTATATTGTATGTATATTTATTAATTGTATAATACGATATTATATATATAATAAAACTATACATAATATGTAATACGATGAAAGCTTTAAGTTTAGCTCAATATTATATACGTAATATGTATACATAAATAGTAAATTATTTTTTATATTTTGTATTTTATATTTTCATTAATAAATTTATATATCGTATAATAAAATATGATAATATATTAAAATAAATTATAAAATATAATATTAATATGTATACATATATAAAATATTATGTATATAGAGCCATACATTGAAGGCTAATTTAAAAGGAAATTTGCTATATGTCGAAAATAACTCATCAGAAATGGCATTTTTAATAAAATTTATTTATGTGTAAACTAATAAAATTTTTGGCAAATTTAGAAGCAAAAAACAGCATAATTAGTTTTTGCAATGCTTTGTGTATATTTAATCAAAACAGCAAATATTGCAGATAGCCAATTTTACTTTTAAGCCGACCAATGTATGCCTGTATATAAGTCTTATATATAAATGTATATGGGAATTTTTTTTACAAAAATATATAGTTGGAAATAATATAATTATTTTATAAGTTAATAATTAAAATAAAATGCTTGCTCAATTAATAAAAAAAATTTGAGAAGAAAAAAAAATGAAAATAATAATGTGTAAATGCACTGTTTTTTCTCTCTATTAACACGTTAATACACACAATTTTATTATGTCATGTATGCACAATCACAATGCACAAATGCAATGCAAAATATGCAATGATAAATTTTATTTAAAATTATTTTTTTATTTTAATTAATTATTTTTTATTAACATTAATGTCTAACATTTAAAATTCATTATAATTGTGTTATCGTAAATTTTGATATCATTTTTAGTTTACATGAAATTTACATTCTCAATTTTACAAATCAAAATTTCATTTACATCATACACACACACATATACACCTTAAAGAGTATATTTTATTATAAAACTATGTTTATTTGTGATTACTATTCAGATACAATGCTCTAGAAAACGCTGAGATTTTTTGTGTTGAATTTAAAAAAGCTTCACTCATATGATTGTTTTGGGTTTTCTTGCACGTGGGTTTTTATATACTCGTATAAGTATGTACTTTTGAATAATTGTATCCGCATATAATTTACATATGTATATTTATTTAATGTACATTATGTATTATTAAAAAGTGTGATTGTATAATGTTTTTGTTGATAAGGGTGGTTAATTGATAATAATTTATTTAATAAAGAAATTATATATGAGGTATTGGTTTTTTTAACTTTATTACATAATGAAATATTCAACATTACATGATACTGTAAAAATATATAATTATATACATATTATGTAATTATATAGAGACGCTTAACATATGCAGAATATGTGAGACGCGATAGCATACAAAGGTAATAAGATTATTGGCACGAATTTGTTATCGAAATGAAAGTTAAAATATCGGCTTTTAATTCACGTATAAAATTTATAGGTTAGTGAAAATTTTCAAAAATTTACACCCAAATGTTTTGTAAAGACAAAGGGTTTTTAATTTTTTTATTTAAGCATAAAATTCTATGTTTATTTAGACATATTAAGGTGTGTCTGGTTTTCTGTCCGCTCATCCGTCCTATTCTCAATATTTCAAAATATAATAAGATTAGTTGCAGGACATTTGTGTTCAATTACAGCTTAGATATACCCTAGAAGTTTAAGTTAAACGATTTGAAATGTTAAAGTAGTTACTTTACAACCCCAAAAACTAATTTTAAATATTTCATTAAATATAGTAAAAAAGTGCCGAATTATAGTTTGGTTCACTATATAATCAAATATAATTTTATAATTAAATTCTCGTGGTGTAAAGTATAATTCAGTCTCAAAGGTAACGTTTTGCAAAACAAACTTACTTTTTGTTCATATAACACCGTTCTATCAATGTTTATCACGTTGGGGATACCATGGTGTCTCGCATATACCACTACGTAACTTTAATTTACCAATTGATATTATATTAAATTGAGGGTGAAATGAAACAGTTTTAAATTAATATTCTTTATTTTGTGTAAAAATGTGCCACATAAGTCTTATAAAATTAAAAATTTTACAGAAATAGTCTTAGAGTTTTCTAAGTTTTTAATTCATAAAATTTTATTTCATTCTTCAGGCTTTAATTTTTCTATTTATTAATATACAGAGAATATACAAGAGAGTATTATAAATAGAAATAAATATAATACTGAAATAAAAATAAATATATTGAATATAGAGAGTTTTACATTGACTTATTAAATTAATTTAATGGTAACCATTAAATAATTTAAAATCAGTTGTTTGTCGAGCAAATTAAATTTTTATTAACATACAGTCATACATTTTAGCTCGTAATTTTAAGGGTAAGTTTTTGAACTCTGGGAATTACAAATTGAATTTGAAGAATTTTAAGAATTCTAAGAATTAGAATTTGATTCAAATTTCTAGTATTTGAATTCGAAAATAGTGAGGAAATTCAAAATTCAAAATTTTTATTATTTGGCTTCTCTTTGCAATACTATACTCTTGGTAACAACAGATATTATCATTCATTAAAATATTTTCGAATTATACACATGATATTGTACTAATCTATTCTTAAATTTCCCTTTCAATTTTTCCATCGTTTCATAACTTGCACTTTAAATCAAATGATTTTCTCTTAATCGTTACTGGAAATTCAATAGTTTTAAAAACAAATTCAATCTTATTTTATTCTGTGTTAATCTCATTGTAAAACACTTATTTTATAAGCAACAAAACCAAGGCAATTAAATTTTATTTTCTTAAGCACTTTTTTTCAAATTTTCGAATTTTTATAATTACACTTTTACAAACTTTTTATGTGTTATTAAAACAATAAAAATTATAGCATATTTCTTGGCACTTTTTTTTTTAATATTTTCGCACAGAGCCTTATTTTTATATAAATACGAGTATGTATAATTTTTCTCATGGTATAAAACTTTTTAAATTTTAATATTTTCAATTCAACTCTTATAATTTATTGTTAATTGAAAAATCAAATAATTTTAATTATAAAAGGAAATAGAACTTTCGTACTGAAAACTATTTATTTATAATCCATAAATAGCATGCAGCTTTAATTATAATATATATGGAAAATATTCATAAATTTATATTAAAAGTAGAAATTTAAAAGAAATCAATAAAATAATTCTGTATCTCTGATTTTCAAATTTTAATAATACGCTCTTAGAATACACTATACGTTTATGAGTTGTAAACACTGAAATGAATAGCAAGACAGTATTACTGTAACATTCGTATTAGCTTATACATACTGTAGCATTAATTTTGAAATTAATAGAAAATTAAATTATTTAATAATTGCCCAAGAATTAAATTATATTAATTTGTAAAATATTTTGAAAAATTTTTGGTTTTCGTGCATTTAATTGGATCCTGCAATTAAGTGGAACTGAATTTTAAAAAGATTAAGAAGATTTTAAGTTTGTGACCAGATATTTTAGGTTTAATGTCAATAATTGACTTATTCAATATTGTTGAACAAACCAAATTACGAAAAATAAAATGTATATTTACTTAAACTTTCTTTTATTACGTTAGATTAAAATTTCGTTCCGTTAATTTAATGTGACCTGAGCTGCATATTTAAAATTTAACCTTGTTTTAATGATTTAATGGAAAGCTTATATAAAATGCGTTTCATTGCGCTTAAAAATTTTCGGAAAAATATTTTTTAATTATATTTTTGAAGCACATTTTGTTTGTTAACTTTATAAAATTTAATTTAACATTATTTCTATTTTGTTCTGTTTTGTTGTTATGTTATTTATGTTTGTTTTCCACACATTTGGAATTATGGCAAAATTTTTCACTAATTTCAATTATTATAAAAAAAAAATCGTTTACCTTATACGTATAAAATTATAAAATTTTTAATCCTTTTCATTTTTTTACTCGAATTCAATTTATAGGTACAAATGGTTAGATGGAACTTTTCCAGGTAGCACACATAAAATAGTTGTTAAAAAATTATTATTAGATCAATTTGTTTTAACGCCATTTCTATTGACAATGTTCTATATAGGTAAATTAATCTCACATTAAATAAATAAATAATTATTTTCTTAATTTATAATTAAAAAAAAAAAATAATAAAATTTTGTTTTTTTAGGAATGTCATTAATGGAACAAAAAGATGATTTATTATTAGAATTAAAACAAAAATTTATACCAACATTCCAGACATCATGTCTATTTTGGCTTCCAGCTCAAACAGTCAACTTTTTATTTATATCACCAAAACTACGTGTTATTTATGTTGGATCTTGTGCATTCGCTTGGGTTAATATTTTGTGTTGGTTTAAAAGACAAGCTGTTCAAGAAAAACCACAAGAAAATTAGCCCAAAAATTTTTAAATATAGAAAATCTTCCAAATGTAGTTAGAAATTATTGTATTTAAAAAAAAAATATTTTTATAATATTGTAAATGTCATTGAAAGAAAAAAAGACATAAAAATCCAAAGAATTTATTTTAAATTTAAAAAAAAAAAATACAAAATGATATTATAATTGTTCTAGAGAATTTTGAAATTAAAAACTAATTGAATTTTAATGGAATATTTTAAAGAATTTGCAAATTATTTCAATTTAAATTGGAAAAATTTTATTAAAAACTTATAAAGAAAGAAATTTTGAAAATTTTGAATTCAAAATAATGAAAATTTATGTAGAAATTTCGATGTACATATATAAATGTGAGAAACGTTTTTCTAATCAAATTAAATTATGAATGTTTTTTCGATAATTCAATTCCAATTTATCTAATGTACCTAAATTTGTGATGTGTTTGATAATATTAAGATTACTGTGTACGTTCTGCCAAAAAACAGAGGAATTTTCTGAAAATTTTAAATGCCTTTGCAGTCTATTGGAAAACTACTGTTGCATACTGAAATTTTTAAGAATTGTAAAGCATTTTTCAATGCTATATTTAATTTTAGAACTGCGAGAATTTTTTGCTATTAATTTCGAATATGTACATTTATACATTTTAAATTAAAATCATTCTTTTACGTTGTTTAAGTAAAAGCAGTCGTCCTTTTACTTTTCTCACTTATTCTTACGGTTTTCTAGCTTTGTTTACCATAACTTTTAAACAAGAATCTCAATAACGCAGACAAAATCAAAAATCAATAATACTACTGAGGGTAAAATAAATGACTGGGTAACCCATTTAATTTTATAAATGAAAATCTTTTTACCCGTTGATATTAACATTAGACCGCAGACAATTACTTTTCAAATTTGTTAAATATTTTTCAATTAATTTATTATGAGTTTGTATAAGTTTCTTTGGAAACCAATTTATGCCCATCAGAAATAGTTAAAAAAAACTCAAAATTTAATGAAATCATTTTAATTTTTTTTAAGAAAACTGTTTCCCTAATTTCATTTAATTATAAATTAAGCTGTTGTTTTAAACTCATTGTTATATAAGGAAAATTAAATTGAAATAACAAAATTCAGTATACTAAAAGCCTAATGATTCATGATCTGCCATACTTAACGTACTACATTCTACAAAACAATAAAAATATTTAAGATATTCCAAAGTATTTTATTATACAAATATAGGTACGCATTTAAAGTTCTCTAAATATTTATTAAATAAAAATGATATTTTTGAATAAAAAACACAATTTAATAATGACTTTTAATTAAATTTTTAATTTAATTTTTTTTGTTTGCCTATTCAAAATTTCCGCCCGGATAATATCACTTGCAACAGGCACAAACAACTTAAGTCTATATATAATTGATTTCGAGATAAATCAATTTAAAACTTTAAAATAAATTTTGAAAAAAAATTGTTAAATTATTTGATTCTAATTTTTTTAAACGAAAAATAATTAAACAGCTATTATTATTTTGCACAGATCGCTTATCTTAAGTTAGAGTTTGAATAAACTCAAAATTACTTATGCAATGAGAGCTTAACTCGACATAAGCGGTCATAAAAATTGACACAAATTTTGATTTGCAAATAAGAACCTATCTCGAAATAAGTGATTTGTCAAAAAATATAAATAAGATGTTTTCTGCTCTTATACTCGATTGAACTACTAAAATTTGTGAGTATATAAAACTCAAAAGGGAGACTTTGCTGCTATACATATCTCATTTTTGTCTTAATTCGAGTTAGGAGATTTGTGTTTGGGGCCACTGATATAATTGACATAGCTAGTTAAAATAATCGTCTTTACATTTATATATAAAATGACCAAAATTTAAGATTAGAAAATTTAAAAATTAAATAGCCGATGATAGTACAACTAATTGAAAAGCAATATTTCTGGGTAGATTTTTTATACCCTGCACTTCGTGAAGGGTATATTAACTTTGGTATGGAGTTTGTAACTACTTGAAGGAGTCATCTGCGGTATGGACATATATATATATTCTTGCTCAGCGTAAAATTCTGCGTTGATTTAGACATGTCCGTCCGTCCGTCCGTCCGTCCGTCCGTCCGTCCGTCCGTCCGTCCGTCCGTCCGTCCGTCCGTCCGTCCGTCCGTCCGATCGCACGATAACTCAAAAACCAATAATGCAATCGACACCAAACTTTCACAAGTTGTTTCTTTTGTGCCAAGGACGAACCCTATTGTTATTGGACCAATTCGGACAACGGGTTCGGGGAGCTGCCATACAACTCAAAGAGTTTATTTTAATTATTTCAAAAACTATTAAAGGTACAAATATAGAATTTTGTATACATGTGTCCAACTATATTCTACATATGCTCTAAAAATTTTAATGAGATAGCTGCACCGGTTCGGGTGGCTGCCATACAACTCCAAAAGCAAATTTTTTATATTCGGCAAAATAATAAAGTCAGATTCATGAAACTTGGCAGTCGTGTGTCCAATTATAGGTCAAAGATATTTCTAAAGTTTTGGTGGAATTGCTTGACAGGTTCGAGTGGCTCCCATACAAGTACAAAAGCTTATTTTAAATATTTGGAAAAATAATAAAGTCAGATTCATGAACCTTGGCAGTTGTGTGTCCAATTATAGGTCAAAGATATTTCTGAAGTTTTGGTGGAATTGCTTGACAGGTTCGAGTGGCTCCCATACAAGTCCAAAAGCTTATTTTAAATATTTGGAAAAATAATAAAGTCAGATTCATGAAACTTGGCAGTTGTGTGTCCAATTATAGGTCAAAGATATTTCTGAAGTTTTGGTGGAATTGCTTGACAGGTTCGAATAGCTCCCATACAAGTTCAAAAGCTTATTTAAAATATTTGGAAAAATAATAAAGTCAGATTCATGAAACTTGGCAGTTGTGTGTCCAATTATTGGTCAAACATATTTCTAAAGTTTTGGTGCGATTGCTTGAGAGGTTCGAGTGGCTCCCATACAAGTCCAAAAGCTTATTTTAAATATTTGGAAAAATAATAAAGTCAGATTCATGAAACTTGGCAGTTGTGTGTCCAATTATAGGTCAAAGATATTTCTGAAGTTTTGGTGGAATTGCTTGACAGGTTCGAGTAGCTCCCATACAAGTTCAAAAGCTTATTTAAAATATTTGGAAAAATAATAAAGTCAGATTCATGAAACTTGGCAGTTGTGTGTCCAATTATAGATCAGATATATTAGCGAAGTTTTAGTGGAATTGCTTGGCAGGTTCGGGTACCTGCCATACAACTCCAAAAGCTAATTTTAAATATTTGGAAAAATAATAAAGTCAAATTCATGAAACTTGACAGTTGTGTGTCCAATTATAGATCAGATATATTTGCGAAGTTTTAGTGGAATTGCTTGGCAGGTTCGGGTACCTGCGATACAACTCCAAAAGCTAATTTTAAATATTTGGAAACATAATAAAGACAGATTCATGAAACTTGGCAGTTGTGTGTCCAATTATAGGTCAAAGATATTTCTGAAGTTTTGGTGGAATTGCTTGACAGGTTCGAGTGGCTCCCATACAAGTCCAAAAGCTTATTTTAAATATTTGGAAAAGTAATAAAGTTAGATTCATGAAACTTGGCAGTTGTGTGTCCAATTATAGATCAGATATATTAGCGAAGTTTTAGTGGAATTGCTTGGCAGGTTCGGGTACCTGCCATACAACTCCAAAAACTAATGTTAAATATTTGGAAAAATAATAAAGTCAGATTCACGAAACTTGTGTGTTCAGTTATTGATCAGACATATCCGTGAAGTTTCTATAGAATGGTTTCACAGGTTTGAGTAATTGCTATACAACAATGAAAGGTGCAGGGTATAATTCAATCGGTTCATACCGACTGAAACGTTTTTACTTGTTAATTTTATATTTTGAATATAAAATTTTTTATAGAAATTTAGATAGAAATCCTTTATTGTTCTAATCATATTTAGCGTGAGTAAAAATCATCAAAATGGTCGTAAATATTTAAAAATTTTATATATATCTTAGTTTTTGAATGCTCTTAAATATATTTTAAGTGACAGGAAATAAAAGTTGCTTCTCAATTAATAAAATTCAATTTATTGATCAGAGAAAAATTGAAATTTTTCTTAATAAAACTAAAATACTGTAATGCCATAGCTATTTGGTCGACTTCGAAATCCAAGAGCAATATGAATTCTCTTAATAGCCATAAATGATTCAAAAAATTAAATAACACAAAATTAATTATTAACATTAAAAATTAAGTGATAATTAATGAATCCTTTGAGTATGAGAAGAATCCGGTCAAATGAGACGCCTCAGTTTAATCGCGCAATATCAAGTTGCTTACAGTAAAAACAAACATCAAAACGTTAATTCAGAAATTCTCTGTGGCCGCTGTTTCCATTCTGAAATGAGCTTTTTAGCAGCAAACAAACAGAATAATTTAGAATTCGATTCTAAGTGGCCGAAAATACATCAATCATAAAGTACTCTTTTAGACAAATAACCGGGTAAACAAAAACGAATTGATTAAAAATGTTTTTAATAAATTATTAAATAAAATGAATAAAATAACTAAAATCTTTATACTTAGAAAATGAGCACTCCTTCGAGAATGAACGTTTTAAAACTTTCGGCTTCAAATGTTCATACACTTTAAGCCCTTCATGTTATTAACTTTAAAATATTAATTACAATAATTATATGTTTCTTGATTAATTCAATTGAGTTTTAATACCATAAAATTATTATGATGATTTTTGGGTTGATTGAATTTGGGTTGTATATTTCCATTAAAAATTACCACATTTTTATTATTTAAATATTAAAAAAACGTGATAGTTTTTAATGGATTTCACAATCACTTTTTCAAAAAAAAAAATAAAAAATTTAAAATCCCCTCATTTAAGAGACTTAAATTAACAGTTTGCACTTGATATTATTTATTAAATTTTCACTCAATATATTTTTTACTCAATAACATTTTTTTAGTATTAATACTAAATTTACACTAACTCTCTTAATGTTGAATTCAAATTGTACTCAAATTTATTTTAAC